TGGCGCGAGATATGAAAGTGAAAAATGTGATAGTATATGATAGCGGTTAAATCTTAACCGCTATTATAATATCACTTCTAATAGCGGTTAAATCTTAACCGCTATTATATAGCACTTATAATAGCGGTTAAATCTTAACCGCTATTATATATTTTCAAATATGATCGATCATTTGAAAATGTAATCGATCATAATAAAAAAATGTGGATGTCGCTCGAGCGAGATCAGTGTCACTCAAGCGAAAAACAACCCGAGAATGCCAATTTTGTGCAGGTGGCGTCGCTCGAGCGAGACCATGTCGCTCAAGCGAAATACAACCCGAGAATGCCAATTTTGTGCAGGTGGCGTCGCTCGAGCGATGTTATTTTCGCTTGAGCGAATGTTGACCTGCTAACCGTCGATCAAAGTTAGCCGGATAATGTAACATGGGTGACCTCATGTTTGAATTGGATGTCTCTCGAGCGAGTATAGTGTCGCTCAAGCGAAATACAACCCGAGACTTCACAAACTTAAAATCTGGTTGTATATGATAGCGGTTAACCCTTAACCGCTATCTAAAATATACTTTAGATAGCGGTTAACATGGAACCGCTATTATATCTTCTCAATTATGATCGATCATTTCTAATTATAATCGATCATAATGAAAACTTACATTAACTATTTTTTTGAATATTATATTTTTAAATTTGCTATTAGAGAAAACCTTTCAGAATTCAAAATGTTAAATACTTTTAAATATTAAAATTAACTTTATCAAAAATTAGGAAAAAAAATTTAATCCAAAAGAGTTCAAAAATGTATTATAATATTATCAATTTTGAGTTTAATTATATTGTTCATTCTCAAAGTAGAAAAATATATTGTAATTATTTTAATTTAATAAAATATAATTTAAATTTTTAATACTAAAATTAAAAGATTAAATAATAATAAATTTAATTCTTTAAATTCGAGTAATTAGAAACTAAAATTATAGTTTCTCTGTTTTAAATAATTAAAATAAATATTTAAAAATAAAAATTAAAACAAGTATTATCTTAAATTTATTAAAAGTGTAATTAAATCTCTATTTTCTTAATTTTATTTGTTTCAAACTTCTCAATTCTACATTTTTGTAAGTTCTATCATTATATTATCATCCTCATCTCCTCCCATGTTCTACTTTATCTTTACAATAGTCAATATTCTTAAATAATTTAAATTTTTAATTATAATTTTTAGTATATATTTCGAAATTAATCAATTCTAATCTATTATTTGAAAAACTAATCAATTCTAATCAATAATTTAGAAAACTAATCGATTATAATTAATTATTTGAAAAAATTATCAAATATGATCGATCATTTCGAAAATATAATCGATCAGAATCAAAAAATCTGTTGTATATGATAGCGGTTCCACTAGAACCGCTATTAAAAGGACACTTCTAATAGCGGTTAACCCTTAACCGCTCGAGCGATGTTACTTTCGCTTGAGCGAATGTTGACCTGCGTAAACGTCGATCAAAGTTAGCCGGATAATGTAACCTGAGTGCCTCATGTTTGAATCGGATGTCGCTCGAGCGAGTATAGTGTCGCTCAAGCGAAATACAACCCGAGACTTCACAATCTTAAAATCTGGTTGTATATGATAGCGGTTCCACTGGAATCGCTATTAAAAGGGCACCTCTAATAGCGGTTAACCCTTAACCGCTATCTAAAATATACTTTAGATAGCGGTTAACGTTGAACCGCTATTATATCTTCTCAATTATGATCGATCATTTCTAATTATAATCGATCATAATGAAAACTTACATTAACTATTTTTTTAAATATTATGTTTTTAAATTTACTATTAGAGAAAACCTTTCAGAATTCAAAATGTTAAATACTTTTAAATATTAAAATTAACTGTATCAAAAATTAGGAAAAAAAATTAATCCAAAAGAGTTCAAAAATGTATTATAATATTGTCAATTTTGAGTTTAATTATATTGTTCATTCTCAAAGTAGAAAAATATATTGTAATTATTTTAATTTAATAAAATATAATTTAAATTTTTAATACTAAAATTAAAAGATTAAATAATAATAAATTTAATTCTTTAAATTCAAGTAGTTAGAAACTAAAATTATAGTTTCTCTGTTTTAAATAATTAAAATAAATATTTAAAAATAAAAATCAAAACTAGTATTATCTTAAATTTATTAAAAGTGTAATTAAATCTCTATTTTCTTAATTTTATTTGTTTCAAACTTCTCAATTCTACATTTTTGTAAGTTCTATCATTATATTATCATCCTCATCTCCTCCCATGTTCTACTTTATCTTTACAATAGTCAATATTCTTAAATAGTTTATATTTTTAATTATAATTTTTTAGTACATATTTCGAAATTAATCAATTCTAATCTATTATTTGAAAAACTAATTAATTCTAATCAATAATTTAGAAAACTAATCGATTATAATTAATTATTTGAAAAAATTATCAAATATGATCAATCATTTCGAAAATCTAATCGATCAAAATCAAAAAATCTGTTGTATATGATAGCGGTTCCACTGGAATTGCTATTAAAAGGGCACTTCTAATAGCGGTTAACCCTTAACCGCTCGAGCGATGTTACTTTCGCTTGAGCGAATGTTGACCTGCGTAAACGTCGATCAAAGTTAGCCGGATAATGTAACATGAGTGCCTCATGTTTGAATCGGATGTCGCTCGAGCGAGAATAGTGTCGCTCAAGCGAAATAAAATCCGAGAATGCCAATTTTGTGCAGGTGGCGTCGCTCGAGCGATGTTATTTTCGCTTGAGCGATATTGCAAAAATCAGATATAATCATGGATTATTTTCTCATTAGCGACCGATTTTAATTCGGTCGCTAAATCAGTCGCTAAATGATATTTTTATTTATGTATGAAATAACCACCGATTTAGCGACTGAAAATTTGCGACGCACAAAAATTTGTCGCTATTTCAGTCACTAAATAAAAAAGTGAAAACCAAATCATATTTTGGTCGCTAAATCGGTCGCTAATTGCGACCGAATGAAAGTGGTCGCTAAATCGGTCTCTAAATATGACTAAAATTAAATCGGTCGCTAATTTCGATGGTTAAATGTGTTTTTTCTTGTAGTGTATAAATCATCTTTATGTATTATAATATACAATTATGATTAGAAAGTAAATTATTGTTATATATCAAAATAATAATTTTTTTAACAATTATATTTTTTAATCATAGTCGTATGTTATATAAGATCACAATGTATATTTAATAGTCAATATATTTTTTATTTTTTTATAATAATTATAAATAGAATCATTGTCATATTACGTCATTAACTTTAATTTATCTTCTTCTTTTCTTTTTTCTCTCCTCCTCATTGTATTTCTTCTTTTCTTCCTCTCTTTATTATGATTCAATTTTACTCCTCTCCTCTTTTTTTTTTTTCTCATTTACGAAATGTTTATCTTAACCATAAACGTCTTTAATGTGTTCAACCTCCCGATAAAAGAAAATGACAATGTAAAGATATTTTTTCTCATTTTCCTTCCCATTTTTCTATCATTTGCAAAGTAATCTTTTATTATGACATTTCAAACTTTCTCTATTCAGCAAGAAAATGATTCAAATTATACCAGAAATTTTTTTTTTAGTGAACATTGAATGAAGAAGTTAAAGTATTATGACAGAGACAAGTTTCGTGTAACTATTGAAGCTTTTGTTGATATTAATGTTGTGTTAGAAAACAAAAATGAAGGAATAGTAAAAACTTTTAGGTTTATTATACAAAATCTTAGATATATAATGATAATTATGAATATAACTATCTTTGGGTAATATATAATAAAAAATTAAAATTGTTGTCAATTTCATAATTTTTAATAATAACTATAACAACGAAAATTTTAAATCATCGTTATATTTTTATATATTTTTATTTTTATCATGGTGATTTTTACTATTATAATGAAGATTTATTATTATTATTATTTTTTTTTTTGAGATTGACATGATTCGCAAGATATTTTCAGCATATAAAAGTTAGGATTAATTTTTTTTTAACCAATGTTTATGAGACTATTGGAAAAAAAAATTGTTTTACGTTTATCAAAGTTATTAGTTGATGTTTGTAGGGATTGTTTATGATCGTCGTCGTTAGTATTATTTTTCTTTTAGAAAGTTGAGCAGAAGCTTTATTCTAAAATCAATTACGAAAACTTCTGACCACTTTTATCTAAGACTATTTTCAACTATTGTTAATGGAAAAGATTTTTCAATAAATATTAAACTCAACCAACAACCGATGTTACTTGAAAAAATAGGAGATGATATATATATAAAACTAAATTTGATGTCATTAACAACAAGTACTTAAGATTTAGAAAATACTCTATTAAAAAAATTAGATGTACATTAATAAATACTTAATATAAATAATATCAAGCATTCACACTATTCAATAATTTTGACTTCCTATAAAACAAATTAAATAATTTTTATATTTTATTGATTTAATATACCAAATAAAATCCTAAATTATGTTTTGTGTACTATTTAAGGGAAGTTTGGATATTTATACACTGACATAGTATAAGAAAAAATTGTTCTATTTCATCTTTCCTTTTTAAAAATAGGAAGGTAATAATATTTATTTTTATCATTCTAAAAGATTACAAAATATTAAAAATATATTTGCGGATATATTTGATTTATAAGAAAGCTATATCCTCATGAATTTTTTATTTTCCAAGAAAAGGGTAGGAAAGTTCTATCACATCTTTTCATTAATATCTTGTTTCCTTAATAAGTTCCTCAAAGTGCACTATACCAGCATTACATTAATACAACCACTGAGTACACGCACGTCCTATGTGATTTTCCTTTATCACTAACTCAGCATTGTATATATATATATATAAACATGGTTGCATATGCATCACTCTTGCACAGTTCTATTGTGACTTCTCAGCAACTATTTTTCCTTTCTCACAGATTTTACACAAGATGAAGAACAGCATTAGAAATTGGGTGACACTAATAGTTTTAGTGTGGATATGTTTTAGTGTGAATGTGTTGGAAGGTTTGCGTTCTGTACCAAATCTCGGGGAGGGAAAAAGATGGGCTGTTCTTGTTGCTGGTTCAAGGGGTTACGAGAATTACAGGCACCAAGCTGATGTCTGCCATGCCTACCAAGTGTTGAAGAAAGGAGGGCTTAAAGATGAAAACATAATTGTTTTCATGTATGATGACATTGCCAACCACACACGAAACCCAAGGCGTGGCATTATAATCAATAAACCAAATGGCCCTGATGTTTACAAAGGAGTTCCCAAGGTATGCATCTATACATTCATTCTTCTAACTCATACTTTACTCCTTCATATGATTTTAACGTGGAAATTGAAGTAATTCATCTTCTCTTTCAAGGATTACACTGGAGATGCTGCAAATAAAAACAACTTTTTTGCTGTGATTAGTGGCAACCGAGGTGCTCTCTCTGGAGGCAGTGGCAAGGTTGTGGATAGTGGTCCAAATGACACCATTTTCATTTACTATTCGGACCATGGCAGTGGGGGTCGGGTTTGTAAGTAATTAACTTGCCACCTTCTAACCTTTCTTGTTGCTTGATGTGTAAAGCATGCATTGATGATGGATTCTTTTATGGAAATTACAAATATAGAAACAGAATGCAGAATGCACGTACATTTTGTGTGTCTCTGGATACATTCTTGAAATCAAAATACTGACTTTGGGACAAAACATGTCAGACATGCCAGTTGGTGACCCTGTCATGGCCTGCGATTTCGTCCATGTGTTGATGAAGAAACACGCCACTAAATCTTACAAAAAGATGGTGAGTTTTGCTTTGATGTTGTGCTGATCATGTTACATGTATGTTTGAGAATAATATATTATTTTTCGAAAACCATTATTTTATAAAGGAAAATGATCTGTTTATGATTGGTTGCTTACATACACAACTGACGACCCATTTTATACTATAATTAATAATTATTATATTATATAATTATAGAGTAATGATATTTTGACAATCAGAAATCATACAACTCTTCAAACAACTCACTTTTATTAATATAATAATCTATAGACTGATTTAATAGAAATAAAAATAAAATAAAACTATTATTATAATATTAAAACAGAGTTGTTTATCGGAGTTAAATGAATTTGTGTTGTCAAAATATCATTTTTCATAATTATATTATATTATATCATATCATCTTATTTCAGCTTGACTAAGACCATGATCTAAATTTAATGAGAACAAATAGTAATTTATTTTTAACAACGATACTCTTTCTATCTAACCATAAACATCAACATCAACATACACAGAACAAACCAAAAAAAATAATTAAGGGGTTAATTAATAGTTGGTGGTTACGAAACGCAGAAGATTAATATATTTTAAAGTTTAAGAATAATGATAAAATACATAGATTTAGTAAGGATTAGTAGATTTACATGATTATATTTAGGTGTAGGAAAAGATATCCATTCAATCTCATATAGATAATAATTTCGGTACCACTATATGCATTAAGTAGCATTATTAAAAAAAAACATCTATATTTCTTACAAATTTTTAATTATTTTTTATAAAATTTCACATTAAATAAAAGTTTTGCAAATTTTGATGTGAATTTTTAAAAAATTATAAAAAAAAATCTCATAAAATATAAAATATGACCAACAGTATACCATCACAATGTATCAAAATATTTTTAATTTTTATGTGATTCAACCTATGTAATCTGTAAATCCACATTTATATATGGACAAACTAATATTTCAATTTATAAACTTTATGTAGGTCAATTTCACCTCCTTTCTTTGGGACAGGTCACAAAATGAATCGACCCACGTTAACATATCTAATTTTAATAGGTATTTTTATATATAATAGAAAAATAAAATACTATTTTAAAATTGACTTAGTAAATAATTAGTAAAAATCATTAATTACTAACTGCAATAATACCTAGACTCTACCATTCCAACAAAATTTGGGAAAAAAATTATATATGTAAAACCCAAAATTCATTAAATGATATAAACCCTACCTAGTATGGATACTATTTTAAGATAATCATTAATTTGAAGCTAATCAGCATCCCATTTTATTAAAACTATATTTATTCAACGTCTTAAAATAGAAAAGCCCTTCACCTAGTTTCGTACACTTATCAAAGTTGTATAAAAGAAAAAGTTGGATTTTGATATTGTGAAAAGACCTCCATTTTTAGAACCTCAAATTTAATAAAAATATTAACCCCTTATTTAATGATTGAAGATGGTCCAAATCATATATGCATTTATTGTGATTATGTTATAATTTACTCAGGAGGCTAGTTTTTTTTTTTTCCTTTTCATTGTTCATTTATAAAATCATTTCTTAATATAAAGCAAGGATCATTAACAGTAATTTTTTTCCTTAATTGGATAATAATTTGGTGTTATTTAATTAAGATAGAATGATGAGTTATTTGTGTGACAAAAAACAAAAAGGTGATATACTTGGAATCATGTGAATCTGGGAGCATGTTTAATGGGATTCTTCCGAATAACACAAACATATATGCGACAACAGCTTCTGACTCGACTGAGCAGAGCTGTGCATTTTATTGTCCTGATACGATACCTCGATCACCACCTGGGTATAATATTTGTTTGGGAGATGCATACAGCGTTGCGTGGTTAGAAGACAGGTATGCATTATTCAAATAACCATCATTAGTATATAATCTTTATCAGTTCTTTCTAGAATATGACTTTGTTTAAAGTAATACATGTTAATTAATGTTAAATACCTAATTGATTACATATATGGTAATTAGAAATTGAATATCCATATAACAGTAGCACAAAGTTCACATTATTCGTGTTTGAATTTGTCTGTAGTGAGGAGAATGATATGACGAGAAAAACTTTGCAGCAACAATACGAAACCGTAAGCATCGATTCAACCTTTTATATATATATATACAGTGAGTAAAGTTGATCCAACATATCAAATATTTTGTGTAGGTTAAAAAAAGAACGTTTCTGCAAGGAAGGTCTCATGTGAGGCAATATGGTGACGGAAACTTAAAGAATGATGTTGTAGCTACCTACATTGGTGCATCCCCCGTTCATAAGGAAAAGACATATTCCTCTGAAATGACTACTGCTCAAACTGGTCGTATCAGGCAACGAGATGTTCATTTACTCTATCTTAGGCTCCAGGTATTGCTTGGTTGGATGTGTTCTTGTGGTATCAGATTCATACATGTGCAAGTTATAGGAGAGAAATGGGGGAGATATTCTTGTTTTTCTTCCTGTGTTGTTGCAGTTGCAGAAGGCTCCAGATGGATCTGAGGAGAAGTTGAAAGCTCAGAAAGAGTTAGATGATGAAATTGCTCATAGGAAGCATGTTGATAATGTTTTCCATCTCATAGGGGATCTCTTGTTTGGAGAAGATAACAGTTCTACTATGATGTTCCATGTTCGTCCACCAGGCCTGCCTCTTGTTGATGATTGGGATTGTTTTAAGACCCTTGTAAGTGTAGTATGATAGATATCTATAGCATTTTTTGGTTATGGAAGAACCATACAATTTCTTTATGATGATGACGACATGTAGATGATACACATTGCAACTAATTGATGCAGATAAAAACTTATGAGAAACACTGCGATAACTTATCAATCTATGGAAGGAAATACACAAGAGCCTTTGCTAACATGTGCAATGCTGGCATTTCTAAGAAGCAACTGAAGGAAGCGTCGTTGCGAGCTTGTGCCAAGGAAATCCAAGTTTCGGAATAATTGATGATGACAAATATATTTTCAACAATAAATATTTCTTCCATCTTTCAAAATGGATCATACCCTCTTTGTTGTATTGGTTTATCATTCTTAATAGCTAAGGAGCCAAATAAACAAAGTTATATTAGACCAAAGCAATGTTATTAAATATGTGATGTATATGCATATTCAAATGACTAAAATGTACTAGTGAATGCTTTATTGAAACCCTCTTAAACACTAAAATTTCTAGAATTTATTTATGTTGTTGGATCAATCAAACATTTTGGTATTATATTTAAAAAATAATATATTAAAGAGACTTGTGATTATGTCAAATTAAAAGTCATCATATATCTTATAAATTAGATTAGGCGGTTATGTATTTGATAAATATAAAACCTTTATAATATGTGGTAACTAAATAGATTAAAGGTTACATAGATCATAATTTTTTATCAAACGAAATGGTATTGGAAGGAACCTTTAGTTTCATGTTTTATCAATTGGAATTTTTTTTTCTTTACTATAGTATTTTATATATAATGCAATGTGTTGTCGATTAAAATATCTATTATAGTAAAGAGAAAAAGATCTTCTATTTTATTTTATTTTCGTATGTATTTCAATACAATATTATTTTTGTTCTTTTATGGTGATTGATTTTGCGATTAATGTTATATATATATATATATATATATATATATATATATATATATATATATATATATATATATCGGAGATAAATTAATTGAAAGATGTCTGACCTCTATTGAGTAAATTAATTTATTTTAAAATATAAAAAGATTGTAATTGTAATTTATGTGTATATTGAGGTATAATTGAATAATTTCAATTTTATATAAAGATAAAATACTAATGTATTAATAATAGCTTGAAATGGGATTTATTTTTATTTAAATTTTATTTTATTTTGAGACTTGGGTGAGTGTATATTTTCTGTATGTTGTTCTCAATTTAGTTAAGAATTACCCTATCAATATCAATTTTATTTCTATATTAAATTACTCAAATTTCAAGTTGTAGAAAAACAGTGTCTTTAGAGTACTGGGAGTAATAGATGTTGACTTTAAATTAAGGGTAGACTCACTCCCATTCCATAAGTACTTTAGGGCACAATTTCAGGAAACACAAATACAACTAAGGAGGTCCTTGTGGAAATTAAAAAGAGGTTTGTTAAGAATGAAAAGTCTAAGGTAGATACACTCTTGGCAAACCTAATTTCAAAGAAATATAAGTAATGATAGAGTGTAGGGTAAAATTAATAATAAAATAATTAATTTAATTAGTTTATTGGGATAAAATTAAATAAAAAAATAATTAGGAGTTTGTTGGAACATTTTTAAATATCGTGAATGATTATTATTTGATATAAGATATAATTAGAAGTTTTTTGTATGCTATAAATAAATTATTATATTTCTTGTTTGAGGTATGATAAAAAAATCAATAAAATAAATAGTAAAAAATTTTATATTATCATAAATTATATTATGGATGTTTTGCAAAACTAAAAGCACTTAAGATAGAGTTGTTTGATGAGTTGTTGATATATTTAATTATACATTCTCTTCCAACACAATTTGAGTGAGAAATAATTATGAGAAAGAGACTTAGGTATCTGAATGAGCTCATGTGTTCAAGAAAATGAAATATTGAACGTAGATAAAAGAGACAGGGCAAGGGACCAAAACGAAAAAAATAAAAATAAAAATAAAGAAGTAACAATTATAGGAAATAACAAAAGAAGTTAAATGAGTCTAAAGGCAATTGTTGTTTCTTTTGTAGCGTTGTAGAACATGTTAAGAAGCATTGCAATAATCATCACACGTGATGTGCTAAGAAAGGTATTCTTCTCAATCTGGTTTGTTTTGAGATTAATTTAAGTTCTGTGCCTAGATGCACATTGTGGATAAACTTTGATGCAACGACTCTTATTTGGATTTTCATAAAACTTTTATTGAATTATATATGTTTAAGACAAAATATTTATATTGTTACTTTGGACAAATTTAGCTATTCTTGTTCATGTGGAAATGAAAAATTTAGTTTGTTTCATTCAAATTTAGTTGATTATGATTTTTTACCAAGTAATAATAATCTTTACAAATTGAATATTGGAGATATAAAGAGAATATTAACCAACAAGAATTCAATTACATCATCATATTTTCAAGTAGAAAATGGAAAAGCTTGAGTTAGATGAAATTCTAAACTTTTTTTTTAAAGGTTTTACTTATATATTTATCAATTATATAAAAGATAAAAAAATCAACAAAGAGATTTATTTATCCATTCTAATAATATCGTTAAGATCAATTATTATATCTAAAATATTATTTATTTTAGAGTTTTAATTTATTATAATTTTATCTTTAATAAATTAAAAAATAAAAATATATATAAACTAATTTTGCCTTTTAAGTTATAAATAACATGAAAGTATGAAATAAGATAATTTAGAGTTTATGCGTAAAAAAAGTTGGGCACCATTTTCTGTGTTTGATTAGGTGGAATAATCATCAATATTTTATAATATTTATAAATACTTTCAATACATGAATACATTTATCTCATTCAATTTTTTTATTCTTGAATTTGTTATTATTTGTTCAATTCATGGCAATAATTGTTTGACGGATTGTGAATAATAAATTGATTTACGAAATTGAAGAGAATCGAAAACTATTTAATTTTTTTATTAATAAATATTGTGATATACAATATGACCTAAAATAAACAGGCTTTTTGAAACTATTTTCATCGCTCTCTTCGCCTCTTGTATTAGAAACGAAAATTGTGTAATGAAAAATATTGAAATATGGGATGCAGAAGTAATCTGTGGTTGTGAGGAAGCAAGTCCTTGATTTTTATCCAGAAATCATGTTTGAAACATTATTTTGGACTACCCTTTAATTTGTGGCCCACTATCTCAACATCCATTCTACACTCCAAATATCGGCTGAAATCGGTATTATTTTTTTTATAGGTTCCGTTTGGATTATTTTACTCCGATATTTCACTTGCTCATAGAGCTGCTCCATCACTTGGTCCACGTTTTCATTTTTGCATTGAATAATTGGCATAATGCGTCAACATCAATTACCCAAACACAGCTTTTGAAAATTTTGAAGAAGAAAGCAGGGGAGTTTATAATTAACTTGGCTGATTTTTACTTATAGAAATCATTCTTAAAGGACAAGTTTACAACTCCTTCTTAGAGTCACTTAAAATAGAAAAATAATCAATATTTTGGTACAATCTATTATAATTCACTATATCATTTATCAAAACACTTAATGAAGCATCAATTTTTTTTTTATGATTCGCACTAACCATCCATTCTATCATATCAATGTCCAATTTCCGGAAAAACTACACTATTCCGATTAAAGTATACAGTGAATTCGGTAACCTTGTGTACTGAATCAAGCAAAAAAATTATATCGCGTTATAATTTATATTTTAAATTAAATTATAATTAATATATAAATTATTAAAAAGAATAATTTTTTTCTATGATTCATTTATTTACCTTTTTTCTATGATTCATTTATTTTATTAAAATTAACGTGATTAGTTTTGTAATTTGTAATGTACATTAGTTTAAAAGTAAATTATGTGTAAATTCAAACCATCAAAGTTAACAATTTTATAGCTAATTGGGTAAAAATTGGTCACATTGTTATTTATTTTTCTAAATTAAGGGACTTTGTTGAACCTTATATTCAAGATCTTTAAAATAAACGGTTAAAATTATAAAACAAAATCAACCTTTTTTTAATTATTTTACTTATATTTTTTTTAATGAAACGGTTTGATCCACATTTTATATTAAAATTTAATAATTGAATTAAATAAATTTATATTTATTTGTTAAAAATTAATTAATAACTAATAGACATATATGTCTCTTAAATATTTTTTTAAACTTTAATTTTATATTTTACTTATAATATATTAACTCTATAGCATAATTTTCAATTATAAGATTATATAATTAATTATAAATATAAAATAAAAATAAAATTATAAATATAGCCATAATTGTAAAACAAATTTACTATAAATTTTTATTTTACATTTTTATTAAAAAATATAAAACCATTTACATATAAAAAATATTTTCTAATTATTTGTAAAAATATTTAACATTTTTATAATAATAATAATAATAAGTCGCAAACATAGTTCAAACCAAACTACATAGTATTAGTTTGGTTGAGGTTTTGAACTAAATTCGAATCAAATCAAACCATATTTCATTGTTGTGTTTGATTCAAGTCACTATTTAATACAAATTATTCAAAACAACTTACAAACACGGTTATTTATATTAATAATAAAATTAAATTGAATAAAATGAGCAAATAATATAACAAAAAAGTTAATTAAGCTATAAAATAACATATACAAGTATAAAAAAAGTCAAAACAAGCATAAAAAAATATATTAACATTATTATTTTCAATCTTAAAAATTAGTTGTTAGGTCCATTATCTAGTTTTAATAAGAAACACGAAGCATAGAAGTTATTGTCGAGAAATTGAAGAAATAAATTAAAAATGCATAAATTATTATATTTATTCTGTTAATTGAGATTCCTTCTTTTTGTATTTGAAGTGGAGAGGAATCCGAGTTCTCAGAAGTATCATTTTCCTAAACCAAAAATTTCAATTTCAAGTTAAAAGTACAAAGTAGAAAGTAGCTATTGAAATCTGTTGAGTTTGGCCCACAAATCAAGCTAGCGTGTTCTCAGGTACCCACCACCCATGTGCCATAGTCATTCCCAAAATCAGCAGAAAAAACAATGCCTCCATTGTCTTCCACATGTTCCAAACTCATTGGCTTTTCTGGTCTCTCAAGTCTTGCTTTTCAGGAACACCAGGCCAACTCATAATTTATTCATGGTTTTTTCTTCGTCCATATGCACGCTTTCAAGTATTATATAACTGCCCCAACTGCTTCAACTCCTCTTGCTCATCTTTCAGCTCTTCCAAGGAATACAACAAAAGGGAAAAATAGTAAAGCAAGATGATTAAGTTGAGGTCAATGAGGTTCACCCGAAGCAGCTCCAAGCTTGGAAATGGGAACAAAGCAACACCACCCTCAGAAAAGGACTGCAGAGGCCTTGGAGAAATCCAATGGGAACTTAGGCCTGGTGGCATGCTTGTTCAGAAAAGGGAGAGTAACAAAAGTTCAGAGGGCTTGATCACAATTACAGTGTCAACAGTGTCACAGTCACATGAAATTTCTGTTCAGGCCACATCAACTTTTGGTATGTCTACTCTACCACACCCCTTTACAAAGTAGGTTGAAGATTTTATATAGTAACATGGCTATATAGGACAAGTTAGGGACAAGTTGTCAGGTTTCAACTTTTCTAAATCTAAATTCTGAAATGAATATATTCTAAAACTTGTTATATTTCAGTCCTGGGGTAGGAGGATATGTTTTAATGATTTCATATTCAGATAAGTTAGGCCAAAATTGAGATGAACAAGACCCAGAATGTTTGTTTTCTTTCTAAGCTGCTTCGTGATTATTTATCAGTTGAAGTTTAAATTTTTACCCTTAGTAGAAACAATCCTTCTGTGGGTGCATGACAAAAGCTGCGAAAAACTAATAATTTGCAGGAGAATTGAAAATGATTCTGTCAATGGTCACAAGTTTTGAGCCCCGAGAGCAAAGGCTTCTCTTCAAGGGTAAAGAGAGAGATGACGATGAATATCTACATATGGTTGGGGTTAGAGACAAGGACAAGGTTCTGCTATTGGAAGATCCAGCCATAAAGGAGAAGAAAATGCTTGGAAGAGACCAATCCATAAACAATCCTAGTCGTACCATCACTGTATGACTAATTAACCAAACTCGTTAATGTTAATTAGTGTTAACCTCAAAGTAAAGTCTGATAAAGTTGAATGTAGTGAGCACGCGTGGGTTTTCCCATTTTGCATATTATAAGAACTTAATTATGTTCTTATCTGCTGTTATTGGGTGAATTAAGAATTTGTAAGGTGATGAAATGCCAAGTCATTATGCGTAGTTTAGTTAATGATGTAAAGTGATGATTCCTTTTGTTATTATGATGGTTTATGTCCTATGTTCAAATATATTAACTCACGCGTGCACTTCGACAAAAGTAGATTAACAATGATAAAGCTAAAGTGGGAAGCTTAAAAAAGCTTTGGCAAGGTTGGGACAATTTTTCAGAAAAGATGGCAGATTATGGGTTTTAAAGTTCAATTTCTTGGGTCCAAAGGGTAGATGTTCAATCAAGCGCACAGGGTTATTTTTAGGAACAACGTATTATATGATAATAGAGGAAAGGTTTTGCAGATGATGAGTTGAAAAGTGGTAAATCAATTTGCATACTTTAAGAGTGAATACTAGTTCAAATATCTGAAATTAATTTTGAAATAAAAATTGCATGATTGTTAAATGAAAATTAATCCTAACAACGATTCGAATTTATTATATATGATCTTATTTTTTGTACTATTTATTAATAATAATAATAATAATAACGAAGCTTTGTGGTCAGTCATAGGAGAGGCCCCGGCACAGACAAGGGGTCCCTCTTTTCTGGGAAGCAAGTTCAATGGAATTTAGGATCCTGTTGGATACCAGAATCATTTCATTTGTTTTGGTTAATGATGTTGTTTGCATGCATATGCTTAAAAAGAAGAAGTATTTATCTTATTTCTAAAAAATTATTTACAAATGGGCCTATTATGGACTGGACTTTTCAATATATATTCTTCTTCCTCCAGCCGAATGTACAAAACCTTGAACTAACTTTGCACAAAAGCTAAACTCAACCAATAAATATTGTGTCCATGTTAAAGATAAAACTGAAGAAAAATAAGAAAACCCAAATGGACTTTCATGTAGTGATGATGCACATTGTAGGCCTAGTCGTGTGAATCCATGGCAAGCCCACTACTTAACTACATAAAAATGATAATAATTTTACATCTTGGGCATAATTTTTTATTTTTCAGTGGATTTCCAAACACGTTTTTAACTTCCGGTTAACGACATTTTAAACTGCTGAATTCGCTAAATTTTAAATTGATTCAGGGTTAAATTATTTTATATTCACATTTAAACCTTTTCACAATCAGTTTTCGAGCATGAAAATGAAAATAAAGTAAATAACTTCATATTAATTTTAAAACCATAATTTATTTTACATCTTCCAACTTCACTGGTAATACACTCATGACACAAAATTACTTGATTTAAAATTGCCGCAAGACTTTAATTATTTTATATTTACAATTTGGATAAACTTTTTCATAAATATTTTGAACAGAGTTATTTTTTTATGCAAAAAAATTAAAAACGTCTTTCAAAATTTAATAATAGAAGCAATTGTAAATATTAAATTATAAGTGGTTTTTAGTTTGTGAAAAAAAATCGTTTTTTAGATAGTTGTAAAAATGTTTAAGAAGGGAGGGAGACACGAAAAAATTATAATAATTTTTTAATAATTACATAAAATAAAAAAATAAATATTAAAATAGATATTTTTTATGAAGTTGTGTATTTTTTTTATGGTGTAAGATAAAATAAGATTTCACTTTTTTTAATTTTTATTCTATATTCTCTTCTATTTATTAAATATAGGTCAAACCGAACTTAGATTGTGTTTCAAGTAAATAGATGTAAATATTTTTAAAAATTGTTATTTTCATCAAATAACTATTATTATTAATAATTATTTTTATTTTATTTATTTATCATTTTTTTTAACAAGTATCTTATAATACATAAAACTTATATGAATCTTTGGTTGAAATAATGAGATGCTATGGTATATTCACTTATGATAAAATCCAATGCAGTAGTCTTTTTGAGAGAAAGGTGAGACAAAATCTTGAATCTCCTTCTAATCGAATTCCTTCAATATAATTGCGGAACATGTGCACGTCGTTTTAGTAACCAAACAGTGACTTTCATGAGGTACAAATGTTTTGTCTCTTGAAAGAAGGGAAAGGTGAATACTTTTTTATTTTCCCAAATTTGTAGTTTTGCGAAACCATATCCAAGCAAGTAGGGATGTAGTTTTTGACCACCTTGTTTTCTCCTTTCAAGATGGGACCGTAAAGATGCGTTTGGTTATGAAATTCCGGAAATTTTGTCCGTTGGTAACCAATACCTACTACGCACCTAGACATGTTAGGGATTCACACGAAACGATGAAGACACGACCAAGAAAGAAGGATATGGTGAACGTGCTTTTCAATGCTTGAAAAAAAAAAATGTCTTAAATTTTCAACGTTTGAGAAATCTAAACTACCTTTCACCAATTAATGTATTGTTGATATGTGTAACGATGGATCTCTCAAATGTCAAAGCTTGCAGGACGTGTAAGTATGTCCTGAAATTCTACCGGACATGGAAGAAAACGAAAGCTTTGGATAAGCTTTAATCCCGTTATTATCGATCATAGTCATGAAATTCACATTTTACTTGTTCTTCGTTTAAAAAATAATAAAATATAAAAAATATTATCATTGAAAATAATGACTAATAATATTTAATACTTAAAAATATAATTTATTTTTTATTTAAAATGATATTATTATAAATGGATAAAATATAATTTTCATCTACTAATATCATAAATATTTATATTTAATATAATTAAATATTTTATTTAATTTTTACATATTAATAATTATTTTATTAAATTTTTAATTATTATTATTATTATTAAAAAAATATTAATTTTATGTTATATGAATTATAGAATAATATAAAATATAATATAATTAAAATTAATTTATTCATGTATTATTCAAAATTTATTAAAAAAAATTATGTAAATTTGATGATGGACAATACATATACATGTTAATGATAAATTAAAAATTTAATCAAATGATTAATATTATATAAAAATTAAATGAAATATTTTAATTATATTAAATACAGGTGGAGAAACTAACGATTTTGAAGTCTCAGTAGACAAGACTTTGGCTGCTAACTTTTCCAGCAGGTTGCCTCCAGTGGAAGCCATAAATAGCCCCTCTTCATGCTTTCTCGTCACTTCCACTTCCTCTTCTCAATCTTCTTTGGGTCTCTCAGGCCTTGGGATTCAACACCACCACTTGTGCAAAAGGTATACTGATACTAAGATTCTACCCCTTTACTTTCTCTCTTAGCCATATGTTTGATGCTCTTAATGCTTGGGTATCTTATGCAGAGAAGGTGAAGATCACACACATGCATAAGATAACATGCTGACAGAAGATAGAGAGCACAACTCAGCATATCCAACGCCGTTTTGTGTATGGGAAGTTTGTGCTCTCTTTTCTTCTGTCAACGTGCATGCCAGATACAACAATTTTCCTCTCTCATTTTCTTTCAACCTCTGTAGTTGTATAGGTAAATATATTTCTAGCTTTCAATTTATATATATATATATATATATATATATATATATATATATATATATATATATATTAGGTTCACTTTCACTCATTTAACTTTGCATAATATATCTTTTTTTTTTTCTTTCATTTTTCCACTGATATATGCTTGGTTTTGCCTTATTTGAATGCCTTTTCGAACTCATTTTTATGTTTTTTGTGTGAATTTTCCTTCCCTTATCTGCATACTTTTTTTAACGCATGGATCTTTACTGCAGTATAAACTATCTGGTTTGCTTTGCATTTGTTTATTAGAAATTATAGCGAATATTCATTTTTTTCATCCATTTGCATGGTTTGCTCATAAATTATAAATTTCTATTTTGTCCATGACTTTAGTTAGAAAAAGAAATATATTAGCTTAAAATGCATACTATATACAAGATTTCTTCCATCCATTAAACTAAAATTATATTATAAATAAGTTAAAAATAAAATTTTAAAAAAGTATGAGAGAACTTTTATAAATTAATTATGTATAAACTATTAATTTATGAATAAATCTATTTATTTTTTCTTAAACTTTTGTAGACATTTATTCAAATCTTAAGTATGAAATTTAATAGTTATTAGTATACAAAATTTTGATGGTCTTTATTTAATGAATTCATCAGAAAAAAGGGAGATACAGTAATAATGTAAAGTCTTGTTTTTATATTACCATCATAAAGCATCAAGTTTTGTTTTGTTTTGTTATATATATATATATATATATATATATATATATATATATATATATATATATATATATATATATATATATATATATATATAAAGGATTATGGGCCAATATATAATTAGGAAACTTTATACACTATTCTGAAATAATAAGTAAACAATAATTTTTTTTTGGCTAAATATACTTATAATCCTTTATTTTATTGTTGAAATTATTCATCTTTCAATAATTCATTATGGATATATATGCTTTCAATTTGGGTTCATTTGGTCCTCCCAAAATAGCCATCGTTTTTCATTTGTAAGACATGATTTTGATTTTTTTTATAAGTGATTGAAGATGTGATGTATTGTTAGACTCATTTATATATATAACCCAACCAATGTTCAAAATAAAAATATCCATAAAAATGATGAAAAGTGAGTCTAATTAACGAACAACCAAATTAAGAAAATATAATATCTATTTTTTTTTCTGCCGTTGGTAAATTCATTTTTGGCTTACTAGTCTTGGTAATTATATTTTTTTTATGGTTAGTAATTGAATGTTAATAAATAAATAAGTAATATTTGAATGTTTTTATATATTATGAAATAAATTATATTTTATAATAACATAAAAAATTAAATTATATTTAATGATATAATATAAAGACTTAAAATAAAAAAATGTTTGATAAAGATAAAAATTGTTTTATAATCTTATTTTAGTGAGATAAATAATTATTAAAAAGAGATT